CCTACCTACCAATCTATCTATCTATCTATCTATCTATCTATCTGTCTATCTGCTTACCTACCTACCTATCTATCTATCTGTCTATCTAACTATCTATCTACTTACCTATCTATCTACTTACGTATCTGTCTATCTGCTTACCTACCTACCTATCTATCTATCTGTCTATCTAACTATCTATCTACTTACGTATCTATCTATCTACCTAACTATCTATTTATCGAACTATCCGTCTACCTAACTACCTATCTACCTAACTATCTACCTAACTATTTACCTAACTATCTACCTAACTATTTACCTAACTATCTACCTAACTATTTACCTAACTATCTATCTAACTATTTACCTAACTATCTATCTAACTATCTACCTAACTATCTATGTATTTCTCAATCTACCTACTTAAAGGGTGATCCAAAATTTTAGTACTTCACAGAAAAATTTCTCTTCTCTGTCTTATAAAAAATCAAAAAAAGCTCAAAATTTAACTAATAGTCAAGCAATATCAGATAAGTATCACTCTAAATATTCACAACTAAAACTCAAGCTATCGTGAAGACGTAACTCCAAACTAAAAGATTTTTTTCGTACCATCTAACCAAGTAACCGGTGTCCATGATATATAGATTTATTTTCGACCTTTTTTTCTCAATTTCTAATATGTTTCTTGAAAAAAATATATCAGAAGATGGCGCGTCAAAATATCTCCAATGTACAATAGAAAGCTTATTTTATATATGATCTTTTAGTGTTCAAAATGGATGAAAATGATGAAAAGAGAAAATAAAGAAAAAAAGAATTCATCATGTATAAAAAATAACTTTTTCGCAACATCAGAATTCATTCACTTCGAAATCTGCTGATTTTGAATACTAAAAGACCATATATAAAATAAGCTTTCTATTGTAGATTATAGATCTTTTGACGCTCCATCTTCTGATATATTTTTTTTGCAACAAACATATTAGCAACTGAGAAAAAAAATACAAAATACGACCGTTTATCATAGGCACCTAGTTACTTAATTAGATGATGGGAAAAAATCTTTTAGTTTGAAGTTATATATCTTCACTATAGCTTAAGTTATAGTTGTGAACATTTAGATTGATACTCATTTGGTACTGCTTGACTATTAGCCCAATTTTGAGCCTTTTTTATTTGTTATAAGACAGAAAAGAAATTTTTCTATGAGATACCAAAACTTTTAGACAAACCTTTATATATCTATTTATATATTATTGGGAGCAGAATTCTAGCGGTGATTTTACTGAGATTTGTCATGGACTTCATATCTTCTTTAGCTTCATCATAGTAATACAAAATACGCAAAGTGAATAATATCTAACAGATAATAGTTGCTTTTCAAGAATAATCGATCCTTAGAGAATCGATCTGTCTTATTTATTTCTGCGTTTCTAACAGAATTTTTTTCTTTTATTTTTTTTACTGGCGCTTCATTATTTATTTGCGTTGTTGTCATTCGCTTGTGATTTACTTTTTTTTATTTCGTTTTTCTTAATTTACTATTATTTTTGTTCTTGTTCTAACCAATGATTTACTTGAGAAATTAGCCCTTTGTACATCTTCAATGTATCTGTGACAGGTCTCAACCCACTACTATGGACCTTGATAAACTTATCAAATACTGGTTTTGGTGGTTCTCTCAAATTAGAATTTGATCAATTAATACTTTTTGTGTTGCTCATATGACGATTGTAGTAAATCAATACATCACCAGTCATCATCCATCTTTGATATGTATCATATACTCGTTAATTTGAGCAAAAATCAGAAACCGTACTATATATAACATTCAAAAACATAGTACAGCCATTTAAATTTCAAGGAAAGCTTTGAAATGTTCTAGAACAATCTGAGCCGTGTTTGTTAATACCGTTCAGCACCCTTTTCCGTTGCTAAGGAATCATGGAAAAGGAGTCTGATGCTTGTTATATGTTGGTTACTATAGCAGAATTTGCGTCCAGCGCTCTTTAACCTTCGACCACAGCTGCTAAGGCTTGTAATGAGGAAAGATGAGCCTCAAAATCTCGCATTTAAACTTATACTCACTATTTTTCTTCGAAAAATATATGTGAGTTGCACAAAACGTGTTGTTCATTGAATTGTACGCTTGTGGTAGCCGTATACGACTAGATACGATCGCGCACGGTGATATACGACCGTATACGGCAGTCGTATAACTCCGTATACGGAGTACAGATGTTTATCTTTTAATCATTCCGTATTTTTGTACGATCTCCGTTTACGGAATCCGTTTCTCACCGTATCTCTCCGTATACGCGCATCATATACGGAAGCCATGCACGACCTCCGTATATCTCCGTTTTTCTCCGTAAACGACCGTTTACGAGCGTGCATGTTCGACCTGGGCTCAGAACAAGTACTACATAAGGATTATAGCATGATCCTCATAGAAGATACTTATTATTTTTAGATTTTCAAAGCCCATAAAATCCATAGATCCCAATGTTTGTCACTGGAGAACTCCGTTCGGATTGACATCCATCTTTTCAGCATTTGTAAAAGAAGAAGTCCCCTCAGATTAAATAGATTCGCATGGAATCCTCTCAACTTTGTTCAGCTTCGCCTGTATCCAAACCTTCTCATGATCTTACTCAGAGTACATCACGCTTGTTCTTCGAACAGCTTCACATAACTTACCAAAAGCCTATGTAAATACTTAGGAGATTCTTCGGCAGATCTACATTCATCATACAGAAAATCATGTATCCTTAAGGTTTCCTAAAAAACATAGGGATTAGGTTTGATATTTTGTTGTTCAATGATTCGATATTTTTCTCACAAGATACAGATAGAATCTTCTCTGATGTTCATATAAATGATCATTCTGCCAAAAAGATTCTAAATTCTTGCAATTCTGAATAAAATCCTCAGATCCTTATGTTTTTCTATCAAAAACTTACATGGACTTAGTATTACTCTTTCTTTGAGAACCTCCTTACAGTAATCTCAAGATATTATTTTTATGATCAAGAAGATCCTGGCAAGAACTAGAAGTAACATAGATGTAAGAATCGTTACCAAATCCTTTTTTTCTCATAGGAAACTAGGAAAAGACTTCTAAATTTTTATCTGCGGAACGAGCATTCTCAAAGATGAATGTCATATTTTGTAGCGCTTGCTCTCACGAGAGACGACATCCCTTCGATAACGACGATTTCTTTTCTTTTTTGTTCATTGTAGGTACTCCCAATATTCCAATCGATGCTCGATGGAAACAGAATGCGACGACTGTTGCTGGAGGTCATGGAGAAGGCAATGCCACCAATCAACTCAACTACCCTTATGGTCTCTTCGTTGATGATAATCAAACGATAGTCATCGCTGACTTCGGCAATCATCGTATCATCCAATGGAAGATGGGTGATACGAAGGGACAAGTAGTAGCTGGTGGCAATGGCGAAGGAAATCGATTGGATCAATTGAATTATCCAACCGATGTGTTGATCGACAAAGAGACAGATAGTCTCATTATTTGTGACCGGGACAATCGACGAGTCGTACGATGGTCTCGTCGTAGTGGCACAACTCAAGGAAAAATCCTTATCGACAACATCTGGTGTTATGGATTGGCCATGGATAATCAGAGATATCTCTACATCTCCGACTACGACAAACGTGAAGTAAGACGATATCAAATAGGAGACAAGAATGGAACTCTTGTGGCTGGTGGCAATGGCCAAGGTGCTGCTCTCAACCAACTCAACTGGCCGGCCTACATCTTTGTCGATCAACAACAGAATGTCTACGTGTCAGACAGCTTCAATCATCGTGTAATGAAATGGAATAAAGGTGCAAAAGAAGGAATTGTCGTCGCTGGAGGTCAACGCCAAGGGGATGCTCTGACACAATTGTCGTATCCTCAAGGACTGTTCGTCGATACATTGGGTACCATCTATGTGGCAGACACGTGGAATGATCGAGTGATGTGTTGGCCTAAAGGAGCGAAACAGGGCACTGTCATTGTGGGTGGAAATGGTGAAGGAGAAGGAGCAAATCAGTTCAAGTGTCCCCATGGTTTGTCCTTCGATCGACATGGCAATCTCTATGTCGTCGATTGGGAGAATCATCGTGCTCAACGCTTTTCAATTGAATAAACTCATTACGATGGATTATTTTTTTTGCGTCCCTTTCATTTCAAATAAATCACGTTGAATTGATGAAACGAATGGCTTATTCTATTCGCGCGCGCGCGACCAGGAACCATCCTGGTGGAGCCGTGGCGAGCGTAACGCTCATGCACGCATAGGACAGACTCATATCATTCATATCCTCCCCTCGAGAGATATGTCAATGAGTCTGAATAAGCCTGGTCGTGTGCCACGGACACCAAGACAGCTCCTGGCCGAGCTTTTAGGGACTACCCGGAAGTCCTGTAAATAAAAAGAACCTAACCTCAACGAACATAACTCACCCTCATCTCTCACTAACACTCGTTTTTCTGAGTCTCATCCTCACCCTCCTCAATCTCAATGTCACGATCTAACCTCAACCCTCTCTCACCCCTATTCTCCTCTTTCTCAAAAGAAAAAAAAAGAAATAATTACTCACGTGTTCGAATATTGGACGATGATAAAGAAGACGCGATCATGTTGAAGACTGAAAAGAAAAAGAAAAAGAAAAAAAATTTTAATTAATGTTATATTATGAGAAAATATTAGTTAACTTACTCCTTGTTATCTTTTCCTAGTTGATAATAATCAGAGAACCTGAAACAAAAGACAACAAAATAAAAGATGAAAAAAAATTACTTACCATCTTTAATTTCTTCATATTGATCTAAAAGAAAAAAAATTAAAAAAAAAACAATTTTTACTTACTTTCAATATTTAATGGCTAAAATAGAAAAAAACAAAGCCTAAAATAGATCGGAAGAGGACTTACTACCCTCCATGTGATCCAAAAGAAAAAAAAAAGAAAAAGAAAAAAACTAAAACTGATACCTACATTTTATTTTATGGCTTTGTTGGACGTTGAATTGTTCCATATTGTAGTGTTGATATTGACCTAAAACATAAAAGAAAAGAATTAGTGTTTATGATTCAACAAATTGAATGATTTCACATAGAGAATTATTCATATTTATACTCCAAAAAAGTTATGGGGAGAGAAAATCATTCAATTTTTTTTAATGGATATATGATTAAAAGATGAATTTCATTAAGCTTTAATCGGGACACACAGATACATTGAGATAAAATTCAATTACAACTATCTTAATGTATGGGTGTGGATAAAGCTTAATTGATATACATATTAATTATGCTATGTTGTCATTGATCATCAACGATAACATGAACGACGACTTATGGACGAGAGAAGACAAAAAAGAAAATTATTCTCTTGACCTTTTTCTTTTTCTCTCACTTTTACATTTTCAATATGTGTACAGAATAGACGAACACGCCCGCACACTCACATGTAAGGTATATGTTGTCATTTGTTATGTTGTTTTTCTTTTAGAGTCTGTTGAGTTACTTGTGAAAATATTTTGTTGTTGATAGGCTCGAACAATGGTATTATGGCAAAAATTAGATTTGCAGAAAAGATCATGAAATGACCCAGTCTCAAAGATTCGATATTTTTCAAAGATTTTACTCGTCATACACTTAAGAAAAAAATCTATGTATACTTCTTCGACAAACATTGTTTGATTGTTCGATACAATAGCAAAGTCTGAATACGAAC